TACATCTACAATAATCATAAGTGGTAAGAGAATGACATTGGCTTGACATTGGTCCAAGTTTAGAAAGACAGGGGAAGTGTTCTATTTGGGGAGGAATAAAATATGGGCATGTGGCATCCAGGAGACAATGACAACACATGGAATTTGAGAGATACATGTGACTAGAAGAACACCTACCGACAGAAGTGTTTTACAGTCATATAGAAGATTTGTTTTCCTACTGAACCCTGCCACATTTGCTTACTTTGTCACAAACCATCTCAGTTATTTCTTCTGTCAATTGAAGAAATCATATATTTTAAAAAGGACTCACGGCAGATCACATAATTTTGTATACCGTATTTTCATGGACTACTGATGTTATATATTTTTTAAACACTTGCCCCTGTACAGTGTTTACAAATATTTTGGTAAATGAAAGAAGTTGACAGGTAAAACTCCACTCAGCATGCCATCAACCCACGGTCGTTTAGGACATCTCTATCTTCCATTACGGCCCTAGCCTCCGATGTGCACTGCAAAACAATTTATTCATGCCGGGGCCTTCGGGCAGGGCTTTATTGTACTTGAAACTTATCTCTTTTGAAAGACAATCTAGTATAATACCTTGCTGGAGGCTAAAGAGTGCCGGGTCCAGAATTCATTTCATCTAGCTCCGGCCCTCTTGCCTCCTGCTGATCTAACCCTATCCACAAGCAATCTACCAGGGGGGTGCCAAAAACAAGAGAATACTCCAGTAGTGTGGAGGGATATTCATATATCAAAACAGCTATGGAAATTGGAAAAATACTCACAGCATTGAGTGAATTAGAATGGATTATTGTATAATGTGTCAGTTGATGCCTGAATTAGTGATCTTGTTTTTGTTTTTGTTTTTTAATCTTCTTTTTTAAATTTATTTTTATGTTTTTAGAAGTGAATACTGTTTGTAGAGGATTTAAAAAAAAAAAGGTCTTGTCAACCATTCCTTACAGGATATGATTGTCCAACCCTAAAATGTAATGACCGACAATTGACAGAGAAATAAAGCAAATGTGCATCACAACCTTATGTTCATCACGACCTTATGTTCATGACAAAAATTGTAGGAATCAAGAATAGGGGGCTAGGACAAAAGAATAAATTTACATTAATAAATCTATCGGTAAGCATACTTCAATAATGAAATGCATTTTTTTTAAATTTCCGATGGATGTTTGTGCGAGATTTCACTAATATCTCTACTTCAGATATATCTTTAAGGTCAATCACATATTTCCAAATGTCAATCATCATTTTAGAGCAGAGATAAATATCCAGTTTTTATGAAGGCTATACAGAAAATACAAACAATATGTAAGGCCACTTAAAATAATATACATGTTTAGCGTCCCCGCCAGCTTCCTTTTGGGGGGCCGCCTCCTATTTTTTTGATTTTTTTTTTTTTTTAAAGAAAAAAAACATGAAAAACACTGCTAAAATGAATCTATTTCTGATTTTAAAAAAATGAGAAAAAAAATGTTGGCGGGCATCTTGAAAAATAGCCCGACTGTCAGTGAAAATGTACCGAGGGGCCATTTTGAGCGGCCATTTTGAAAGGAAAAAAAAAAAAAAAGGGCCTCCTCCTTCCTACTTTTCGAAAAAATAGGATGCTAAACATGTTTGTTTTGTTTTTATTTGGCCTAAAATATGTTTTCCTCTTCATATAATAATATAGTTGGATAAGTCAAATGAAAACCATCCATTCTCTAATACCCTATGTTCATACAGACATACACATCCAAATCCAATTCACCATGACTCCCATGGCCACACTTTCTACTTAGAATGTCACACAAAATCAACAGATGTATGGGTAGATCAGTTTCGCACATAATTAGATTAAATGGAGGAGAAATTCGAATAAGAGCTTGTCCACTAGAGCAAAAGTGACGGGCAAAGAATAAATTGGAATAGAATGGACGAAATGAAAACGATAATGACAATGAGAGAGAGAGAGAAAGAGAGAGACAGAGAGAGAAAGAGAGAGAAAGAGAGAGAAAGAGAGAGAAAGAGAGAGAAAGAGATGAAGTGACAATGAAGAAATACATGATGCATAAATGTGCTATGAAAGCCAGAAGGGTGTTGGCTCACATCAATTTACAGAGCATTTATAAACCCTTCTGGTGCTTATCAGTCAACACACAAATTGAGTGTACCCCCCCCTTTCAGACTACTAAAATTTACCGATCGCTAAACGAGAATTGTATATTTATACCGTAAGTAATTGCTTTTCTCCAAGTCTGAACAGCATATAACGAAATGTTGTTTACTGTAATGCATGTTTGAGCATCATTACACACAAAAACTTGACAAATAATCAAGGACCCGTTCTAGACTGATCATCATCATCTTACAAAAATCATACAATTGGGCGGGGCTTGCTTATCATGGGACGGGGCTTATCAAAGGCGGGGCTTGACATGAGCGTGCACTCATGATTGGCCAGCTGTCTAGTCAACTGACCTCATCTAAGACCATTTTCTTTAAACATTTTTTATATGATGTTGTTATCTAGTCTGTACACCCGTTTCACTATACAACAATTCTTTATACGACAATGTTTCTTTACACAAGTTTTGCAGAATAGTTCTCTAGTCTGAATGGCCAAATAGAACACTTCTCTGGAAAGCATGTGTTTAACATATCTTGATCCTCTTTACTGGAAAATCTTATTACGTCCCTCTTCCTCCGCAGCAGATGTTGTATGGTTTCTGCTACGCTGGAACCTCAATGGATAACTTCACAAATTGCTTGCTAGGCTCCTGGGAGTCAACGCTTTGTGCTTACCCTCTGATGCTATTTTCCCTTTTCCACGTTGTAAACAAGGGTATTCTGAGGCACTAATGCTTGGTTATCAACACTAAGATGTTTGTTTCTCTGAATTGCGGTTAATTCTATTCTTGGTGTTGAGTTCCCCCTAGCAACAGGCTTAAGACCGTGTACAATATTTTCATGGCAACTAAATTCTAATTTCCAGCAAATCATTATAATCACTGAATGTTTTAACTGTATGTTAAATTATCATTAACAAATTAAGAATATGAGTACAAAGTAAAATAAATTGTGTTGACATGATTGAAATCAATGTATGAATGTTCTTTCTCATTTCAGAACCCCCCCCCCCCCCCCCCCCCCGCTTAAAACAAATAAATCTAAAAAAAAAAAAATAACAGTACAAAATTCTTACAAAAACTTATTCTTACTTCTAAGACGTAGGCCCTAGATAATGTATGCAATGTAAAATCATGTAAAATCTCACAAATGAATATGAAGAACTTTTCTGAAAAAGAGGAAAATATAACAAAGAACAAGGAGGAAAAGGGCAAAGAAAAAAGCCCACAGAAAAACAACTCTTTTAACTTAAATAAGTGTTAATGGTACCAGACAGCAGTACTAGCAGGGCAAACAAGAACACTTTTGGTGCTAAATTGCCACACATAATGTTATCTTTCTAATACAAAAAGGTGTTACAAATGACAAAATGACAGTGGTTAATGTGGCGCTTTGAAAGGAAAGCTGGCAGGCTGGGTGGTCTGGTCTACTAATGTTTTAGGCATGTTCTATCTGTGTCATATTTATGTACCATGATGGAAAGTTAAAGGTATAGTGTGACACAGAATCACTTACAGCTCTAACATCAAATACCTGATGCGAGGATTTTATTTTTAAAAAATCCCCCCCCCCCCCAAAAAAAAGGCAAAGAAATATTGGATTCAAAATGGTAACCTCTAAAAGAATCAGCTTTCCATCATAGTTGTGAAAACCAGATACCACATTTCCTGATTGACCCAAAGACATTCGCAGCATGAAGAGAGCATTGTTATTTCCCACAGCATTATCACAAGTTCTGTTATCAAAACAAAAGGTCAAATTATAACATTTCCTGAGCAACATGCATACTTAGCTATAAGGAATGTTATTTTTGTGAGATTCTAAATCAACGACTTCACCTTTAAGCCACACTTAACAAAAGCAAACACTTTTCCTCACATATTGTTTAATGTTTCTATAAATTCAAAGTGCCTAGCAGCAGTCACCTGTTTTCTATTATGTTAGGAAGTGAAAAACATTTGTATTGTCTGCTGAGAGCACGAAGGGCAATAAGTCATATCTCTTGACATATATTCAATGCCCTTTTGACTTTCAACAGATATCTGCTGATAGTCAGAAGGATGTAACATCTAGAATAACCTCCCTTCTGAATCTCAAGAAATGACATCAGCTGAAAGCCAAAAGGGTGTTAACTCTCTACTTCCACAATACACAGCTAATGCCTTTCTGGTTCTAACACTTGATGTGCCCCTTTCACAAGTAAAGATATCACACACAACGTTCTACACATCATAATTTCACCTTTTAACAAAAAATATAGGTCTACCTCGGAGCCTTTAAGTTAAACCAGAGCCACACATCTCGTAACTTTGAGTCTATGTTGACATTTTATGTTGCAAAGGTCTACTTCACATGCATACACGAAGCTAGGGTTGAAAACACCTCCCTCACGTATTAAATAGTAACCTTTTTCCGACTCTCTCTCTCTCTCTCTCTCTCTCTCTCTCTCTCTCTCTCTCCCTCTCTCTCTCCTTTTTTCTCTCCCTCAATCACACTGTATAAGTCCTTCAAATTCTGTCCTTCCAGAAAGAAAGGAGGTATTGATAATGGGAGGGAATCTGGGCTAAAATCGTTCGTTATTCCACAATTCCACATTCATAAGGTCATTCTGGATATGATGGTCAATTTAATAGAGTCTTTTGTTGTATAGTCTCATTTGATGTGTGGTCTTCATTATCTCCAGAAGGTTTTTAGTGCCTAAATAATGTATGTATTGATAGATTTTCATTCTATACAACCATCTTTTGATATAAATGTCCCATGATTTCTTTTCTCAGCAAGGAACATTTTTGTCAATCATTTACTGTCTCACAAACAAAAAGGGGAGGATTTTTGCCCCAAAGAATAGTTTTTAAGCTGAGACTTACCTTCACAAGGAAATCCAAAGACTGGACGTAGAATCTCTCTGTTTCCAAGAAAGCAGACAAAATGTGTGGCTTGATATCCTGCATGAGAAAACAGAAGTATGATACAAAATTGTTAAATATATAAGGAATGAATGAGAACTTTATTTCTTGCATCTGCTATTTAATAACATCTGGACAAATCATATTTGTGCATTTGAGTATAAAGAAATTATTGATGATCTATTACTCATTATTTAATTCTTAAAGGTATTATCTTGTGTTTTGAATAAGAATCAAATAGTTTACTATTGTAAAAACCTTTATATTTCACAAAGTCAAAAAGTCAAAAATACTGATGTTTGATGTGTTGAAAGAAAATATGTCTCTCTCTGTTTCTATCTCTGTCTCTCTGTCCCTTTCTCTGTTTCTCTCTGTCTCTGTTTTTTTTTCTCTCTCTCTTTCTCAGCCTAATCTCCTATCACACAGTATTAAATAGATGTGATTTTATCTCAATATTTTACATGTTTCTATTCTTTCACAGGCCTACATAAGGCCTCTACATTCCATCTGTACACACAACGGTAAAGGTTGCGAAAGATTTCTTGCAACACAGAGCTGTTTCATATTCTTCATTCAAGAAATATGACCAATTGTGTCATATGTTCAATACCCATCCATTATCGTCAGTCGCTATCCCAAATATTCTCTGTCAATCTTTGGCAGGCCAGGAGTCAAGAGATCAGCCATATCTCGCCTTAATGCGTTGATATCTCTACTGTTGGCTCCAGTGAATGCTTACAGATGAGAAATGAGAACCAGTCTTCCATCTCAGACCCACTCTCAGGACAACCAATCATTGTACTTTCCTTGTGGTATTAGTGGTAGGGTGGGACAAATTGAACTTGGTTTTGGTCAAAAACCACTAAATTTTGTAATAATATTCTTTCCATAGTTAAAGTGGATGAATGCACATTTCCCAATTTCATATGCAGAGACGTAGATTACTTTCCAAATTGAAAGATACAGAAATATATCTATTTAGCACTAGTAAAGGAATTGCACAATTTTACCCAATTGTGTTCCAACACTTTATGGAGATGACATATAATATATCAGATGTGTAAGTTTGTACATGTGTAGCCTGAGTTTGAGTCATTATTGGAACATAGTGTAATCAAAATGAGAAATAAATGCAGGAAAAATAGATGGATCTGAGATATACAAAAGGTCATCCCTAAAGCTGTAGGACAGTTTTGCTCATGATTTGCGTCAATATGTGCCTAATTATGAGATAGGTTAGTAGAAATTCTACATTTCAAGAAAAGATTAGTAAATCATTTAACTCTATGACTAATTTGAATACATTTGCTGAATGTGGCATTCTACTATAAAAACATGAACTATGGTAATAACAATCCTTCAAATAATTCTACAACTCTTTATGGTGTAGCTGCAGCACATCTTTCCAGCTGATTTTGTGGTATGGATTGAAGCCTAGCTATGAACGTAGATGACCTAGGCAGCAGAACTAAACTGTAATACATTTTCAGATTGAGGAAATTCTCTCCTCTCTGCTATCAGCAAAGCAGGGAGCACTTGAGAGCGTTATCGCTTCCTGCCCTTTATCGCCCGCACGCTCACTTTCATCGTCAGACAAGAAGACGAAATGAAGCTTGTGATCCTGATAGTTTGCACTGGAAGTACTATCACCTTCAGAATCCAGGAAGCAATGAAGGAAGGGCCCAGAGTTTAGAAAAATTGAAAACAGTCCATTATGAGTAATTTAATCAAAACATTTTTGACCTGATTATTTGACATCCTCGAATCATATTTTGTTCAATCTCTCTCCTTGATTTGATTTGCACTGAAACATGTACACAGAAAAATGTAAACATGGTGACAAGTTTCAGCAATTCCGCTGATTAAAAAAATAATAGAGGAGATAGGAAGAGAGGAGGGGAGGAAGAGAGGAGGGGAGGAAGAGAGGAGGGGAGGAAGAGAGGAGGGGAGAAAGAGAGGAGGGGAGGAAGAGAGGAGGGGAGGGATGGAGGCCGGAATAGGGATGGAGGGGGTACGGAGGGGGAGGAGGGGTACGGAGGGGTACGGAAGGAGCTGGAGAGAAGAAAAAAACAGAGGAGAAGAAACAGAAGGATGACACAGAGATGAATAATGTGTGAAATGTCAGAAATGGAAAGAAAGAAGGAACTAAAATGAGAGTTTTGGGAGTGAAAGGGGAGAGTGTTTGATTGATCTGGGGACCATTGTTTCGTGAGGACATTTGAAACCAACTGCCTGCCTTAGAGCAATACTTTCCTCCTAGTAGCAGGAGAGAGAGAAAGAGAAAGGAAATAATAACTCTTCTTATCTCCTTGAAAAGAATTGAAAAAAACTGGGCCATTTATGCACCTTATTTGTAAACAACTCTGCAAGGGAACATTCCTTCTCACACATAAACAGTAACAAATTTCAGCCTCAAAATATCCATCATTTTCCCGGTCACCCCACAAACAAGCGGAAAAAATGAGTACGCTGACCAATTAGGAATTCTATGAAGTGGACTTTTACTCTTCCCTTGCCTGCACCCACAAACTGATTGAAGAAATCTAGATTTGAATCTCAAGGTTTTAGAAGGAAATAAGATGAGCTAGATTCAATGAAATACAGGAATGTTATGAAGATTGCTTTCTAGCCTCAAATCCAGACTCATTCTGTCTTGATTAGTTTTCATATTTTTCACATATCTATACGATCAGAAGATACAACTTTTTTTCGCAAACCTCTTTAAGTTATTGTGCTTTTTGTTCTTCAAGAAACCAAAACAAAAATATATTAAATGAATGTTATGCTTAATATGTGAAAATCCCTATATTACTGTGAATAATCTAGTTTATCATTTTTTTTTAAGAAAAAAAGAAACAGCCTGAAAGCTGCCCTTCCGAGTCACTTTGCTGTATAAAATAGACTTTAATACAAAGTTGGTAAATAAAGAATTCCTGTCTTTCTCTATACGCATTATAATAGGAACCATCAAACATGAAACTCATATCCATATTGTACTGTTATATATTTGAACCTTTAAGAAGCAAAATGATTTTTCATTGTGATTTTTAAAAAATCTCTTCTTATTTATCCAATTCTTGCTTTCATAAATTATCACCTCTCTTTCTCTTCCTTTCTCCATCTCTGACCCTCTCTCTCTCTTTGTATATATATATATATATATATATATATATATATTTTCTCTCCATCTCTTTGCTCTCTTTCAACCAGCTTTCTTTCAATACATTAAAAAGATATCTAAAATCTCATCTCTTCAGTCTGTCAATAACGTAATTGTAAAGTTTAAAGGGGAATGCGTATACAGAAAATGTGCCTATATCTAAATATTATTATTACTATTATTATAATTCTTTCTCCCTCTCCTTCTCCCCTCTTTCTCCCTCTCCCTCTTCTTCCCTCCCTCTCTCTTTCTCTCTCTCTCTCTCTCTCTCTCTCTCTCCCTCTCTCCTTCCTCCCCCTCTATGTCTCATCTATGCTGATAAATCACCTACAGGTGGAGTAACCTTGACGTTGCTATATTTATATCCCACACCATCTTGCTACTGCCTTGTCAGACAGCATCCTGTAAAACCAACGCACTTGTCAAATTTGCCGACCATCACAGCCTCACGTTCTCTACATGTTATCCAATATCCATGCACGTCTATACTGTAATGTATAATGCATGTTCTCTCCCTGCAATGTGTGTTTTAGCCCCAGAAATCCAACATACACATTATAAACTTCTCATAAATTTGCATGATATTCTAAAATCCATCGACAATCAGATTGTAAATGTAACTACTTCATTAATGTTACATGTTTGGGTACTAATTTCAGTTCAATTTAAAAATTCACAATGATTTCTGCACTAAAAATCACAAAAAATTGTGTAATATTGATATCTAATGTTGGCAAGGTGTAGCACATTCATATAATCAGTAATGTCATATTCACTCATGAATTTCAATGCTTTAGATTTCTGAATTTTACAATGGTAACAGTATCCACAGCCAGTGAAAGAGACAGAAGAATATGGTCAAATTTGAAGCTGATTTCACCATTCATATAGCAGGGCTCGAAACTAACAGGCACCTGGAGTACAAGGGCGCTTAAAATAAGATTGGACCCCCTAAATTTTGGAAGTTTTAACATAGGCCTCATGCATACAGACTGTAACAAGTTCAATCCGGATCTCTTCCAAAGAAGGTACATGTGATGGACCCTGCATAGAGCAATAAACATGTTCTCAAGATGTTAAAACCATATTCCAAGAAAGCGATCAAGAGAACAAATCGTCAACAAAGAGCCACAAGGCATTAACTTTATTCAAAGTGATAACGTCCTTCTGACACTTATTAGACAATATCATACTCAGAGGGCAGAAAAGGAATTAAAGGGATCGTTTAACAATGTTAAATCTGAGATACACGGCCCTACGTGTTATCAGTGTCTGTGATATATGGTGTAATATTGAAGCCCTAAAAAAATCGCGCTTCAAAATGATCAAGAAGTGCCTCAAAAAAGTAAAAATCTTTGAGTGACCGGTTTTACCATACTCGTTTTCTCCAATAGACTGTAGTGTTATGAAAACCGTCAGGCGAACAGTTTTCAAAATTTGTAATTCCAATCATAAATTTCTTGATAATCAGACAGGCGATCGGCTTGTAAAAGTCATGGGGTTCCTGACTGACCTAAAGGTTTATAATTATCATTGCATCATGAGCTAAATCCAGAATTTTGTTTCAGAATCTGAGACAAAGTTACCCGATCCCTTTAACTTTACATAATTTTTTTCTGTTCATAGCCAGAGAGGCGTTACCTCAGCACTTCAGTAAACGCATCAACGTCCTTATGGCTCTAAACAGATGATTTATTGCCTAAAGCTTTTCTATCAGTAGCACCAAGTATATCCCATCTCATCCCATGAACTAGTTCCAGGTGTTTTATGATCTGTCAATGATTTAACAGACTGCACTCTATCCCAAGAAAAGGTGAAGGGCTGTAATAAGTCAGATGATTAAGAAGATGATTCCAAGTAAAGGAGAACAACCCTGGCAGATGATGGTGTTTCGTTTTAA